TCCCCTTGTGCTTCTTCTCCCTCATTACCCCACCTTGTTAAGGCTATGAAGCAACTAAGATGCTCCAAGGTTGCACGAACAACGGACAATGGGGATTATTGGTTGCAGACTTCAGTGCTTGTGGCGCCATCGCGGCCCAGGGAATAGGGGCTCCAGCGCCAAAAAGACGTCCACCCCGCATCGGGCAGGCATGCCGGGTGAAGCTGCAACAGTTCTTCATGGAGCAGCAAGCCAAGCGAAGCAGTGCTGGCAGTACAGCAGGAGGTGATCCGGAGGAGAAATGGCGCAGAGACTTGCCACGATTGCTTGCGATGGGTGTTGCATGCCAGCTCCAACAGAGGGAGGGCACTTGTTCGTGAGACCGACCAGTGGCTTTTCGATGAAGCTGCTTCAATGGTTCACTGGTACTTGGTTTGGATTTGCTTCAGGTTGCAGATGGGTTAGGTGGCCAAACTTATCACTGTGGGTTTGACTGTGTGGCTCAGGAAATGGATGGCAAGGACGGTACGCACTTCGGATGGCAAGGACGGTCAATGCATTGCTGTTTTTCTCTTTTTCTTGTGCAGCTGAGGCAGGTGGCTCTGCTGGGAGCTATTTTGGTGGAAGCCAGGTCCGAGTGAAGTGGGGAATGGTGTCAACAAAGTGACCGTCATAAGAAGTGCGAAGAATCATGAACACCCTCTCACACACCCACCCCACCCACCCAAAAAGAACATGAAGGAACATAAGCAACATGACATTGATGAGGTCGTTTATACAGTACAAGTTTCAAAGGCTATTTTTTGCCTCACTGAGTGTACTTCGCATGGGGTTTCGCGATGCTGAAGCTTCATGGCTCGGCCGACCGGAGCGGACGCCCGGACCGACCGGAGACGCACATCGGTCGGACGCACGGAGCGAGTCGGAGCGCCAGGAGGGCGAGCGTGGCAGTTCCTGCGGACTCAGCAAAGGTTTGCAAGAAAGCCTGCAGGCGAAGAATGCACCACTTGAAGGTAGGGCACTTCAACAAAAGCATCCAGGAGGCATGGCTCGCCCAACTATAGGGATATTAATATATTATATAAGGTAAGGTCTTTGCAGAAGACCATTGCCAGGAGTCGCAATGCATGCGCCTTCCCTTTTCGGACAGCCTTGATTTGAGTCTTTGCTCTCGTTGCTTGACTCTAGCTCCTCATCCCTTCAAATGCTTCCTTTCGGCTTTGCCAAAGGCATCCACTTATGTTTACCTTCAAGTGGTCTCCGTGACTCCTCGGAGGTGGCCTTTAAACAGGAAAGGTTCAGCTGGTCGTCTCAAATTAGGGCAACTGTGACAATGCAGCGTTGAAGCCCTCCAGTCAAGCGTGGCTTTGTTCACCTCCTTTGGGGTGCTTGCTTTTTACACCCGTTTGAGTGTCAAACGGATTCTTTACAGATTGCCGTCAACTTCTACTTGGGTCACTAACTGGGCATCATCAGCTCGTCGGTGAGTCATTTTGGGAAGGATGATGACGATAATGTCGAACTCGCTGCGACAAGGACTAGAATGGTCTTAGAAGATCTCCAATGGACATGACGATGAAAGAACAGTCTTAGAAAGAATTGTCTTTAAAATGACTAGAATGGCCTTAGAACGAATAGTCTTTTGTCCCTTTAGATGGATTGTCGAACTGCGCAGACCGGAGGTCTTGGGCTTTGCCAGCCATGAGCTTCCCAGTGCTGAGACACTTCGCAGCGCCTACCGCACCTGGGAACGACGATGGCTGGGGTGTTTCATGTGGGCTGGGCTGGATTTGCGGGTGGAAAAGCGGGAAACCCACCAGGTTCTGGAAAGGGGATGTTTCTTTCCTGACAAGTAGCTGTGGCACGGTCTAAGACTGACAGGTCCATGCCCAAATCCACTGTGAGTCAAAAACCCGGAGCCCTGCTTGAGGAAGCAATCTGTAGTACAGATGAAATCAGCAGGCCAGTGCTTTTGGACGAGACACTCATGTTGCCGACGGCACCTGGCGAACAGCATCAATAATTTGAGACCTGTTCAGAGCTTTTGCGATAGTTGGGCGCCAACAGGTGGGAAGAGACCATGTTCTGTTTGTTTTTTTGTTTGCCAACAAAAATTCATTCCCTCATTGAATGTATTTGATATTTTTTCCTTTTGCTGTTTGACGGATAGGTTTCTACTAGCCATGTTCCAGTAGCTGACAGTTGCTGTACCACTTCTGAACCCTTCGGAACCCGGGGTTTGATTGGGTACATGGGGGGAAGTGTTCTTCTTTGAGGCAATTCGGGGTCCGTTGCCCTTCGGAACGGTCCGTTGTTCCGGTTTCCGAAAAACGTGTTCGAGGCAAGCTGGCCCTTGCGATGCATCCAGACAAGCCCGGAGGATCGATTACAGCATTTCAGGAGAGGTCTGTCGGTCCAGTGGTCCGTCCGGAGATAGTTGATAGATTGCACAGTATAGAAGTCCATAATATAGTTGATCGTTTGCACACATTTGCCACCTGGAGCATGTGCAGTGATAGACCTTGCATGTGGAAAGTGGTGCAGGAACTGCAGAATGCTTACGAGGCTGTTTTGAAAGCAGTCTCGGGCTGATGGAACAAATCCTCCCTTCCTGAGTCCTGTTGATTGAGGCGTTGATTAATAGCACTTCTAGGCGCTGAATAGGATGTGTCTCAGAATGAGGAGCCAAGCAGGCCAAGCAAAGAACGATTTTTCAGGGAGAAGTAGAGGAAAGATCTATCCGGTTAGTTGACGGTTCCCTTTTTGGAGACACCCTCATCCTGTCCTGCCCGGAAGAAACCTCGAAGAGGTCCAAATCGGAAATTGCTGTAGCTGATCCATGTACAGCGAGCTGCAGCTGGATCAAAAAGAGTTGGACATTTGCACCGTTCTATTCAACTGGTGGCCGTTTTTTTGAAGAAGTGGATTTGGTGGGAAAAAATGCTGGATAGAATCCGGGCAATGGTGGTTCAACTTGGTATGTTTGCGATTACATGCTCAGGAGTTAGGGTCCATGTTGGGATATGTGCTGCGAGCCAGCAACAGCAACAGTGCAACAAGAATGTAGGAGTTTGTGCCGCATGCCCCCAACTAAACATTGTTTCAACCATAGTCAACGCTCGTTGGCTTGACTCCTTGGATTACATGCGCAACACAAATCCAACAACAACAGATGGGTAAATGAGGTAAACCCTCATATCATTGCTATCCTTCAAATATAATATATAAGGGTGTAACGTATACAAACTGTTATGTAACTACACATATCATATGTGCCACCCTCATATCATACTTATATATACTGCAATTATACATGCTGCAAATATATATATAATGGTGGGACTTTTGCAGTTGCAGTGTTCCCTTTGTGCTGAGGCCTGGTGCTGTGCGGGTTCTGCGCCTCTCACAGGAATCCCGAAAACAGCGAAAGGGCGGGCTCGGACGATCGGTTTTCATGGCTGATGGGGTTTGGAGGAAATTGCAAGAATAACTTTGTATTCTTGGAGGGTGAACAAAAACGTAAATCCAGCAAAGACATACTACCAAGATCCACCAACGATGGTCATGGCAAGGAAGTTCATCAACTGGTTCCACTCTATTACACGGATTCATGCAAGGAATGAAAGAAACATATTTCGCTGGTTGGGAAGATGTGAACTTGAGAAATTGTCTCCCTACTAGCCCTTGTAGCGCCAAGTCATGACCTGAGAACATGTCTTTTTTGTTTGATACTTTCCGCCATTACATGCTTTGCTTGTTTGAAGGCTGAGCTGCACTTTGTTGATGCTTCAGTTTCAAGATGTTTCAAGGCCTGCAAGGTGTGATACAACAGGAACAACATACTACACGCATATACACATATATACACATATACAGCGAATGTTCTTAGAGGCTATGTTGGGGTTCTCAACGAATCCTTGTTTATCACGGGCTTCACCGACATTGATCAGAAGACCGCTCACAGGAATTCGTAGAGTTTTTGCTCATCAAATTATCCTGAAGTTCATTTGTATGAGGACTGGCCAGTTCGATCATGAAACTTCAAGCTCCGTATATGTACAGTATACATGTTCTTGAAGTCAAGGTAGCTGGTGATATATGCTTCTTTTTGCTAGGGTTCCCAAATTTCCCTTCAAGATCAAGGACAAATCGACAGAAGTCAGACATTCACATGACATTTCATCATGATTCCACTGCGGAACAAGCGACATGGGTGTGTTTGAACCTTTTGTTGCAATAAGAGGTCTCGTACATACCGCATAGGCCTGCCAGGGAAGTTGCACCTAAAATAAGAAGATCTCCAGATTCTCACCAACCTGCAGTCGCCCCACGCACGGGCCCCACGCGAATGCATGGCCGAGCCGGCTCGTCCGGCGTGCCGGACGGACCACGAGACTGGCGGACGCGACCTGGAGTGTTTTGACTTCAGGCCGTTGCTTGCTTGCAGGGAACGAAGATGTGTGGATGGCTTAGTCAAAGTGAACACAGCCGTATGAGCACCACGAGCACCAGGTATGCCGTATGCGCATGTATGCAAGCTTGCCCTGGAAAGACTATGCCCACCGAAGCTCTTGGAAGACTTACATCCAGTGGAGAACAATCTCAATGTTTGTCGATGAATTACATTAATATTGTAATTATTTGAACCTCCACGATGACATACTGTAGGTCTTTCAAGTGGTACCCTATGCTGCGTCCGCGCATGGCTTGCATGGCCATGCATGGCTCGGTGCATTTGCCTGGCGCCCACTCTGATCATGCTTTGTTGAGGCACATTTAAATAGTGGCCAGCGGCCAGCGACAATGAGCTACTTCCGGAGCAAGAGACCGGCAAAGAACTCTTGCCTGGTTGGGTTCCACAGGGCCATTTGGAAACCCATGCTTTCAGGGGCTTTAAGGCTTAAGACATGCTTGCGAGGGTTGGAGATCTTTTGTTTTCCAAGTCCCAAGTGAAGTCATGGCACCATGCCCTTTCACTGATTTCCAAGTTACGCACACCGACCGTGTTGCCAAGCCCACCCATGCCTGTGCCATGGTCCACGCAGCGCCGCCGGAGCTTTATCCGCAATGTGGCGGATCGGGGCTTGCGGGTGAGGCAGCTCTGGGATTTGACGATCTTCCTGAAACGGCTTTGCAAGACCAGGTCCTTGCTGAACAGCAAACATGTGGCTTTGGCGAGAAGCTGCCACCCCCAAGGATGGCCTGCCTGAATAAGCACCTGACCATAGTCTTCCACCGCACCTTTGACTTACTTTCCCCTAGTGTTACATTGTTTTTGGGCCCAAACCCCAGTATCTAAATATGGACTGAACATAGTATGTTATTCAATACTATCCCGCGATCCCACTATATATGTAGAATCATGTTCTGATATATGTACTATAGCAACGTTGAACACCTTTCTTCTCAGCCCCTGGCTTTAGCTTATTAACAAAAACACACATTACAAAACATATACATATATACATTTATGTATATAATTGTTTATATGTAAGATACGGACACCCCCCCAATGATCTACTTAAGTCCTTTTAACTGTGACTCTACCAATACAACAGTCGCCTTTTCAGTGATCGATTTCGGCCCCTTGCTGCAGATTTGGTGCCATTCCGAAGGCTATGACTCGACTTTCAAAAGGCTGTACTATAGTTTGAAAAGTTGTCCTGGAAAACTTGAGGTAAACTAAGGAGCCCAAAAAAATTATGCGAATTCCGGGAATTCCACCCAGCTCCAGAAAAGCAGGTATGCGGCCGTTGAGTGATAGGGTGTTAGGATGTCAACTTTGAGCGATACCCCTGCTGTGGTTGGCAGCCTGAATGATCGCTCTTTTTGCCCCCAGCCAGGTAGGAATCTGGGCCAACTCCCTGCCTCACAACCCAGTTTTTGTTTGTAGCTTTGTTGTGAGTGTTTTGCCATGAGTACAGCATGACAGATGTGTCAGTAGTTAGTATGTACTCAGTTTGATTGGAGCAAACATATGGCAGAGAGCTGAGGCAGAGGAGTGTGGGCCAATCAAATGGCTGGATTGGCAGGCATTGAACCTCTACAATATCACAGATGAGGCGTGCGGTGCTAACGCCATGTGCAAGTTTTCTTTCGTTCCTGAACGCACTGCGCGCGGGGCTTGTGGTTTGCAAAGTGGTTATTCTCAGTCGTGATGCGTTTTGGTGCTTTAGTTTTGTGATGTTTTGTGCATACAGACCCTGGTCCCACGCCATTTTCCATTTGCTGCGTTTCAACTGGCGTGTCGCAGGTCATTAAGAAGTACATACCATACCACGACCGCCAGTGGGAGGTGAACGAGGAAGATCCTGAGGTGGCCAGACGTTACTCTTGGGCAGAGCTGGTCTCCGCTGAAGCACAACCCCCGCAGCTGATGGTGAGTCACTGGTGGGGTGGGCGCTTCAGTGACTTCATGCTTGTCGTGGACCGAGTGGTCGAAGATAGGCCACGGCAGCCCTTCGTCGCTTCGTCGCTGTGTCCAGTCGCACTGAACTGCCCGGGGGGGGGTTCGTTTTCGGCGCAGACCGGACAGCAGCCCTTCGTTTTCGCGGCAAATAGACGACACAGCGGAGTGGCCCACCTGCCAGGGCTTTGAGCATTTGCACCAGCCTTTGGGTTTGCACCTTCGCGAGGCTTGGCCTGATTGGAGGAAGAGATGAGATTGGCAGGGCGGTCGGTTGCGTACTCTTTGGTCCCCACATATATATAAGTAATAACTTGCAACCATATTGGTATAGGTCATACCTCGATAGATGCACCTCACCTTCCACTTGCTTTGGGTATGTTTTTGACTTATATACAGTCACATACACATACACATATTGTGTATATGTATATATATTATGTATTGCAATGTACTATATACCATGTGCCGTGCCAAAATAGGTAGGTTATGGGAAGTGATGCAACGATGCCTTCGCTTTGCTTGGGTTCAGATCGAAGGACCGAAGGACCAAGATTTCCAGCTTTAAGAGTTTTGGGGCATTTGATGTCCATGGTTCTTTCACCCATGAGTTGGGTTTCCCAGTAGAAATGGCCATTGTAGGGCCATAGGAAAAAGTTGAGTGATATGCCCCATTGATAAGTGGGTCTCGATTCCCTCCAACGTCCCCATCTCACATTCTCACATGCCGTTAGCAGCAATCACATCCCAGTAATCAACATCCTCAAACTTTCCTCACGAACTGTGGAACTCGTCCAGACTCATCCGACTCATCCGACGTGTCACTCCCCAGCTGTGCCACTCCTCGCCATTCGCGAAAAGAAAGAACTGAGGAACAACCAGTTCGGGGAGTCCTTTGGTTCTCAGATCCTCGAGACGCCCTTCGTCCGGGCCATCGAATACGCGGAGGCCACGATCCTCATCGTGGACCGTGACGCTGGATCGCTCACGCGCAGTTGGCGCCCGGACACGTCCGGTTAGGGCGTTTTCTTTTTTAATCCTTTTTCGCGTGAGAGGAGCGGTGGGAGCAGGTTCGTAGGGAGGAGCGGTGGGACCTCAACAGACAAACATCCCAGAGGGCAAAGAGGTGCAGGAAGGGCCTAAGCAGGGTTCCGAGTGGAACTGCGCAATGACGGAGACATTTTACTCAGACCCTGCTGCCTGTCCCGAAGCGTGTTGTGGAATTGGAATGGGGGTCCCCCCTGTGTTCTTCTTATGCTTGGCACGCTTGACATCACGAACATGGTGCAACTGCTCGTGTTTGTGATTGGAATGGCCAGGCGCTGGCTGTGCTGCCTTGCAGCACAGGTCACGATAGGCTGACAGGCTCTAGCTATGCTCCGGGAGCGCACGTTCTGGTTGTTGCATGAATGTTCCCGCCACGCTGCGCTGGTCTTATAATCTCCCCTCACCAAAGGCGTTACCATATTTCTGTACATATATAATATATATATATTCTTACATGTTCTTAAAAGTCCTTGCAGACCATTCCGTTTATTTTTAGACGGGTCATCACCGCAACTTACTGTTGCAGGCGGAGTTCCGGAAGGTGGGATGGGAGTCCCCAGGTGCATTCTTCAATCGGCCGGGTGTTCTTTTGCACAATACATTTGGGAAGTAGCAAGTGCCGCCCAAAAGCACACAAACGGCCCAGCCCAGGTGCTGTTTGGAGTTGCATTGCACTATTCTTAAGGAAAAGGACCGCAGGGCATAGCAACAAAGCGCTGGTGGGCACAGAGTGGCCACCAGTTCCTCTCGTGGGGTATTTGGTTTTGAAAGAATTGGAGTCTTGCAAGGAGATGCAAGGAGGATTATTTCATGGCTGCATAGTGTTACAATGTGTTTCATTCGTTTTGTAGCAGCATCCCCTTAGCCCTTTGCCTCTGGCAAAAGCGCTGTTTGAACAGGTTCAGATGAGAGAGAGCAGCAGGTTCACGTGGGAAACTGAGCCCAACCGAGCCCCAGGAGTTGCAGCTCTACACCTCCAACGGCCAGGCGCGCTGTGCACGCCGTCTCCGTGTGGTCGTGCGTGCGATGTCGCGTGCGTGGGGCCGGACCGTCGATGGATGCTTCCCTCATGCTAACACAGACGGTGGCCAGTGAAAGACCTGGATCTTCTTCTCCGTGAGCGCCTTTAGGCAAACCGGGGAGTTCAAGGCGCAAACCTGTGAGGAGCAGTTGCTCTGGGCTTATTACCATAGCATAGCCTAGCTTGCAAACATCTTAGTCTGATCCTTCGAGGTGCCATGTGGTCAAATGATGTCAACTGGTATCAAATGGTCCAACAACCGGCGGCAAATATGTCCTCTCCCTCCAAGGACCGCAGGGAACCCAACATGACACCATTCACCACTATATAAAGGCCCTGCTCCCCAGTTAGGTTGGAGGCCATCGCTATTAGGTGGGAGGCGCTATTAGGATTATACGACGCAGTCCCTCAAACCAACAGCTCCAGGAGTCAACATGGCGAACTCTCAACATCCACACCTGTGAGTTTCGCCAGGTTTCTAAAAAAAATCCAAATACACCCAGTTAGGATGTCTTTAAGACATCTAAAGTAGAAGTCTATGGGATGTCTGAAAAAGAACAGCACCTCTCTCTTCCGGATTCCCGGCCCAACCTGCTCCGCGCTCCGTGCCACCGACGCCAGGTGGGCTCTTCGGCTGTCTCCTCCGGCCCCCTGGTGGACGCCATCAGTCGCTGGGACGTGCGCAAGAGCGAGGCCGCCGAGCAGGCGGGTTGGATCGTGGGGTCCGGGGAGGATCTGGGGTTGGATGGGGTTTCTGGGATCGTTTTGAGATGTTTCGACCAGGGGATGATATGGGATGATACATGATAGGTCATGAATGAGTGCCATGAATGATCATGATAGTATGGGTTTGGAAAGCTGGCCATGCCATGGATTGGTGCCAGTTGCTGCCTACTTGCACACTTGGACCAGCTGAACATTTGCCCTGTCCCTGCCACAGTCAATACTGGCCTTTGTTGATGGAGCCGCTAGCTGCTAGCTACAAATACAGGGCGGCCTGCATGTCAAATTTATGAACACCAACATGCCAGATAGTCACATATGTTCACAGAGCCCCATGATGCCGTATTATATATGGAAGAATCTGAAGAACATCAGCTCCAAATGCCGCAGTGGGCCGGGTCATTCAACCCTGGCGATGCCTCAAGGCCTACAAGCGACAGATCCTCAACTTCATTGCTGATGTGCCCGAAGCTCGCCTCCGAGCCCAACAGACACCTTTGCTTTCCTCGGAGTTTTTAGGTGCTTTTTTGAGGGGGTAGACGTTTTAATTCTTTCATATTCTTTCCATGAATGTAGAGCGGTTTTGAAATGAATTAGTTCGCTTGCCCCTTGAAAACTTGGGTTCTTTGTGGGCGTGCCTTGACCACTTTTGCAGACGCATTCGCCGGTGGGTCAGGAAACTCATGGTTTGCGAACAGACTGTTCGGGCAACTTGTGCTGCATCGATGGCCGACCTCAACTTGAAGTGGAAGCAGCTAAGCCGCAGGTAGGCGAGCGATGATTTTGGATTCCATGAGGTGGCTGACGTCAGGCTGAACATGGAGATGGGGTCGATGGGGTTTGAAGCTAAACGCTGACTGGACTATGTTCAACATGACCATCGTTTAGGGTTGGATGATGACAGGAGGAACTTCAAGCGTTTATGCGGCGACTCATGCAAGATAGCAAGAAATCGTTTCCAAGTATGAGTATGAGCTCAATTGAGCCCTTGATCATCCCCAAATAGGGCCCCATTGAGATGGAAGCTCCATGATCATCATGAGCTTCGGGGCCCAAAACGACCACCCGAAAGCTGGAGGACATGCCCCCCCCCAGCGTTCTAATACGCGGCCGGCGCTGCAGGATGACGACCACCGGCCCTTGCTGCACAGCCATGGGGAAGCCTTTGAAACTCTGAATATGGATATCCGTGTCTCAGTGCTTGGCCGCATTGGCCAAAAGAGAAAGGCCGGAAGAGGATGGGGCGTTTCGTGGCCAGCTTGTCAACAAATGCTAGAGAAGCAAGGAAAGGTGAAACACCCCCAAAGGACCAAGTTGGAAGGCCTAAAACATGTTCCGGAAATTGAACTACACAGGTTGAAAAAGGCACCGGACTGGGAGGACTGATGTGAGCGGAGGGGTGGAAGGGGGCCTGTGTGTGTGTTTATATATATATATATATTATATAACAGTCAGTAAACAATTATCACTATTTTTGAACAAGGCCTTTACTAACCATCATCATCCACTGTTACAGGTATTAGGATAGACTCGGATAGACCCCCCCAAAAAACAATATTTTGTGGGTGATATGGGCCGCGGCCGGATTTGCTGTCAATCGCGGTCCAAACCCACGGTGCTTGTGGTGACCATGGACGCAACGGGAAACAGGATAGCCCTGGTCCAACCCTGTTCCTTTACTTTCACCAAACCATCAGGGATTCAGGATCCTTGTTAGACAAAACATAAAGTTTGTACTGTAACCTGTTAACAGCTAAAGTCTCACTATGGTCAACAGAGGGGATTCTGTGGATCGATGGGATTCTGTGGGTCGATGGACTTTATTATAGCACTATAGACAATATTTTACAAAAGCTGTTCTGCCCCCCCAGCCCAAGACTCAAGAACAACCCTTTTGCATCGTGTTCACTGTTGTAATCAGTGAGACTGATAGGCACAAACACATGGCATGCTGTGGCTCACACATTGATGTACAGAAGGCGCCTCGGCATGTCCAAAAGACACATGCTCAAATTCACTTCACGGGCATTTCCCAACACATATACTGCATTGCCGGACAGATGAGCACTTTGCATACACATGTGCATATAATATATATATATATATATTATATATATATATATAAACACAAATATGCACACTTGCTGATGAGCTGATGTGCAAACTAACTGTTCCGCATGAAAATGCTCAACACGAGCAATAAGATAGAATTTACTTTCAGGACATGTAGGGTTTTGCCACTCAGGAGTTTACTCCTAGAGATCCTGCAAACTCGTTGACATTGTTTATTAAATTTACATACTTTCAATTAACGTGGACATGAATTAAGATGTTGATTTGTAACCGCCTACAATCCTTTTGACATTAAACACACTGTTGATGTTCAGTTGGTGTCTCTGAACATGTTTCAAAAAAGGGGCAAAATCATGCAACATGTTGATGTGCGTGAATGTGTATGTACAATAAAACTGATACCTACACCAAGTAAACACCTGTTATACGTGTTATTTTCTATTCCTTCTATTCCCTTTCTATCCTTTTTGTGGTGTGAATTCCCAATCAAGACCTCACGGACGGGGTCCCGAAGGCCACTGGCTGCAAGATCCCCTGGGTGGGGCACCGCGGCATCACCTTGGGGCAGCTGCGCACCTTCGCGCGGAAAGCTCAGCGGAAGCTGGCGAAGGAACAGCCGGAGGCGTGCTTTCAAGAGGTGGGGCAGACGCGGACGTGGATGCGGAGTGAAGGAACTGATCAGTAAGTATCCGTTTTGTTGAAAACTGATGCAACTACCAGGGACTACCACAAAATGATAGGGCTGAGATTTCGCGATTCCTGACCATATTAGAGGCATGGCGAGATGGCGTCACTCATGGCCGTCAGGCTGTCCCATTTGGGTATGAAAAACTCTCTTCTGATTTTGAGGAGGTTTTTGGGATCCCTTAGAGCTGCCGCTCAACATGCTCAACCGCTGCAAGTTGGTTTGACCTTGCAAGACCTATAATTAGATGGTATATATAGTTGAGCTGTGAGGAAGCTGGCAGAGCATCAAGACTCAAGAGCATGAAGCAAGGTTGATGTTTGTCCGCCATTTGGGCGACTTTGAAATGGAAAACCAACCAAACAAGTTGGACGACGGCCAAATCTTGGAAGGATCATCTTGGCATCAAGCGACCCTGGGTCACTCCTTCCAACAACCTCACAGGTCACTGTGGAACAGATTTGCCGGTGGATTGTCCAACCGGAGACAAGCCAGCGGAAGTGCTCTTATGCTGAGCTGGTCGCCGATGCCCCGCAAATCCCGGACGGGGAGGGTTCAAAGCCAGGATTCTCCTTTTTCACGAACTCCGTGCTTCCCGTGGTTTGTGGGGTCGAAACATCACCAAAACCACAAGGAGTTTGGATTGGAGAGAGACCGAAGGTCCATGTTTCCACAGTTTTGGGGCCGATGTTTTTTCGCTTCGCGTTGAACACGCACGCACGCACGCACGCACGCACGCACGCCCGCCCGCCCGCCCGCACGCCCGCCCGCCCGCCCGCCCGCCCGCCCGCCACCCAACCAACCAACCAACCAACCAACCAAGTCAAGCATGCAGTCTGAGTCTGACTTCAATGGAACCACGACGACGACGGCAACAACAACAACAACAACGGAGCAGTGGAAACTGAAGCGTGCGAAGATGGCCTTCCTTAGCTCTCCATGACAGGTTTCTTTTCTAATCTCTTGAAACCGCGGTTTCTCGACAGGACTATTGCATTAACTACCAATTTGGCATGGCTTGGTGCGATGTCATGTCTTCCATCGAGTGGTTTGCCGAAGCGCTCTCCCTCAAAGACACGGCGGTCTTGTGGTTTTCCTTAATGAGCTACAACCAGCAGCAGCCGTGTGAGGACGAATGGAGCATATGCGTTGGAGCATAACGGAACGGTTTGTTTGGTTGAATTCACTGCATCATTGGGACAGAGAGAGGGGTGCTCGGGTTTCGCCGCTGGTGGAAACATGGACCCAGACATCGAACACGTCTGAGACATCGAACCGGGGTGCCAGTGCTGTCTTTGCTGCCTTTGGAACCGCTGGAACCATTGGAAGGCATGTTGTTGTTGGTGAATTCGTTTTAAACATGTGTAAACCCATCAACCGGAGGACATACAGGCCAACTGTTACGAGAACGGACGTTTGACCGTGGACAAGGGCCAATCTGAATGTCATAGCTTCCTGATTGCTGCTGGGCCCGACTGTTGGCACAATATATGGCGGTTGTACAGCCTGGAGTGTGCAACACGCTTGGGTCAGGATGTCTATATGGCCTGCAGTTCAGGAGTTATGGCCTGCACCAAGCTCTTTCCCGATGGCCACTCGAAGTTTGGAGTCATGGATCGGCAAGTCACTGAAGCCATCTACCATGTGGATGTCAAGCAAGCTGCAGCTCGAGCATCTGAAAAAATTGCGAAGGACGTTCTCAGCTTTATCAACAATGAATCGGGCTCCTGCGGGGAAGGAAAGCTGAAGCTCCGTCTCCAACGTTGGGCAGCCTTTCATTTGGTACCTTTTTGTTGCGCTTCCCCGGGCTGTTTGAAGGACACAACATTGCATGAACTGATTTCTCTGCCAGGCTTTAGTATCCATTCCGACCTGGCCAAAGGTAGCCTTGGACAGTCCTGTCTTCATGAAGCGGTTGCAGTGGATTCGATCGAGTTGGCTCGGAAGCTCTTGGCTCACTGCTGTCAGCCCAATTCTGCAGACAACATGCAGGAGACCCCTTTGCACTATGCCGCCTTGAGAGGCAATGCAGAGATGGTCCGTTTGCTTCTGCAAGTGCGAGCGGATATTCACATGGAATCCAGGCGGGGCTGAAAGACCTATATATCATCTTCACCAAATGAAGATTGGGAAGTGTGGCCTGTGGGTATGCAATCCTTCCCTGGAAGCAATCTTGTTTTTGATTCACAACACTTTCCCCCGCTCTCTCTCTCTCTCTCTGTCTGTTTATTTATGTGTATACAAATATTTATATATATATATATACACACATTCACTTTAACTAATTGGCTGAACGCTGCCGTTCTGGCAGGTATGGGGAGACGGCTTTTGATGTGGCGCGTCAGAAAGTGGTGGCCTTTCTTCAAGACCACGATTCGTCCCAGATCCCTATAATTCTCCATGAGCACTGGGTGTTGAACTGCAGTAGCCCGAGCAGCAGCAACGATTGAGCACTTGCAGCCCAAAAATTGGTGCTTGGCAGCTGTGATAACCACAGACATGCGCGGGGCTAAAGGGACGCCTCCCTTTTCAACCTTGCATGCCTGACCACCTGGGAAGCTTAGGTCAGGTGCTTTTGGAAGAGGGCTTCATACCCATGTGTGAGATTGGAAATTTAACGGCTGAGACGAGATATGGACTACGAGATCTACGAGCATTCCGTAAGCGGTACAAAATGGAACACATAGGTCATTGCGTACCCTAGTATGATCACGAAAGGTTTCCTCGCCAATTCTGAATTAGAGCTTTGCTTTAAGCAAAATGTATTGGGGAGAGGCCTGTGTACCTTGGCGGAGGGGCCGCGCCCATCAAATTATCCTTCTTCCCGTTGCATTTTGCTGAGAAGATATTATCTTACCATTGGTGGCCGCTGGGACTCAAAACGCACCCCCAAGAGCAGAGGAAAAGCCACAAGGATCACAAGCACAGGAAGAACGCGTATCATCATTATAAATGTGTTTGAAAGAACTACGCAGGCTCAACATCTGTTCTGACTTGTTAGGGGTGCCGTGAACGTCAAGAACGTACAATGACAAGGTAGCTGTTTTTTTTTCTCCGATCCTTTTTCAAGCATTCCCTTCAACCTGGCGAGCCACACATCTCTCCAACATTGCCAGTGTAGTCCTTCAGGGTCCCAGCAAGGAGCCACATACCTGGACCTTCAAGGGGTGTCCAATGGAGGTCCCTTAGTGGTGTAGGGGCTTCCATTGGGCACCCCTTGGAAGGTCCTGGTATAAAAACCCTTTGAGAAGCCGGAACTAGACATGCAACATTCATTACTAGACATGCAACATTCATTGTGGGTGGGTTTAGTCCCTGCGGCGATTTCTGGGGCTGATGCTCGGCGAACTGTGGGAGAGAGAGAGAGAGAGACGAGAAAAAAACACAGACGATACAGACGGAGAGTTTTCCCTCTCTGCCTATGTTGCCAATACATGATCCGATTGCCCTTAGGTACGTACCTACCTACCTACCTACCTGCCTACCTACTTTTGGTCCACCTCCTTCTTCTCAAGTCACGAAAGGTAGCTTGAGCTACCTGAGTTCTCCTAGCCCGTCCTAGCCCTAGCTTTAGCAAAATATGTTACAATCTGGAGTTGGGATTGTGCATTGAATTTGGTCCTGTAAGAGATGATTCTCTTCGTCGGGGGGGGCCCCCGCCCCCCTGGATCAAATCCCCCGTGCGCCGGTTCACGCCGTCATGGACTTCTACCAGGGTTATTTGTGATTGCCTGCTACCTTTCGTTCACCCCCTCCTCTCTCAAGTTCTTGGTGGTTCTTCACGGCTTTGCCACTGCTCCAAATAGTTGGTGCAGCTTTTGCCATGCAACGATTGAAAGATATTGAAAGTAGCCATATAGTTGGAAACCCCAGCGGCCAAGCCGATGGCGATGGCTGACATGCGAGTTGGTTGTTACGACTGGCTCTCAAGATGCCATCTCAAGACCACCGGGGGAAGCCCTGCATGACCAAGGTTTGAACAAGTGGTTTTGGATGGAGGCTTGTTTTTTGGCATGCTTGGGCGCGGTGTGCACCAGCTGAAAGAAAACGTCCCAGGATTGCTCATAGCTAGAGGTGCGATGAAGCCTCTTGTTCTTTGTCCTTTTGCATAGGAGTCCATGTTTGGGCTTCTCAACTTTCTCATTCTTTGACCGACCAAGTCTGTAGGTGACATTCGTTCCATAGCAAGACACCATCAGGGTGCACTCAACCAGTGTCCACCCAAAGATCTTGGTCCCTTGGTTCACGAAAGGTTTCAACCCAATCATGAACTTCTTTGCCCTCCAAGCCCTTCAAGCCCTCACCGTGCCACCGGTGCGACCGGACGCCACCGGACCAGGTCGGACTTGCGCCTTCACCAGGTCCACCGGCGAATTGAAAGAACATCCGATCTCACTTCCTCCATGTTCGTCCCTTTTTTGGCGCCCACCGCCGGTGGCGCCCACCGCCCAACCGGACACAGCGTTCGGAACGGCCGCAGCCGCCGCGGACGCCGGGCGTCGGTGGGCGTCCGGGCGCGCTTTGTGCGGGCTCCGGCGGCAGGCGCAGGCCCTGAACGCAAGAGAAGCTTCTCGGAGGGCCGTACCTCAGGTGTGCCGAAGACGCCGATGGGGTCGGAGGGGGGAGACTTGGGATGAGGAGCATGAAGACTTCTCCTATGATGAAGGAAGGCAGAATTTTATAAGTTGCGTGCAACTTTAGGGGAGAGAGGAATGGCCATAACTGAAGACCAGTCAACACATCGCGGTACAATCATGGTTCAGAACAACTTTCAGTTTTGCCCACACAGCAACACAATTGTCTCTAATTATTCATCAGCTGAGGCCCTTGATGAACCTTGACTATCATCAAGTGTTGCTGGGTGTGGGGACAGGCTATGTAACGTAGGGTTTATAGGGTGTGTCCCATTACCAGCAGTAGCAGTCACCGGCGTTTTTACATGTTTTTGCCGTCTTTACTAACCATCATGCCCACTTGCGGAATGGCATTTTCTCCGGTCGTGGCAGGTTTCGACGTGGGTGGCGTGATCCGGAGAGCCGCCAGTGATGGCAGTCACCAGGGCAGCACGGGGTGATGTGGGGGGCATGGCTGCCTCATGAAGTGTAAGGAGGTGGGTTATGCACCTGTTTGCACCTGTGAGTATGCAAACTGTCAACGGTTTGATGCATGACCCATGACCCATGACCGTTTTGCTGGAGTTTGCCTAGCTGTAGATTCCAGCTGTTCATTCGGTTTAGTCGCTCCCGGCTTACGCAGACGAGTGTTAAGAAAGGGATCACTGCACGATTCTCTAAAAGCCAATGAATTTGCCCGACTCCAGTCTAGGAAGCATCGTCGATCACAGAATCATGGGGCACAAGTGGCCAGCCAAGTTTCACTCCCTCCCACCAATTTGGAGGTGGAACGGAACAGGCCCTTTGCAAAGGACTATGTTCAAACCCACTTGGAACTTCTTGGCTTCCCTCTTGGAGCTTGGTGGTATTGGGTGACATGTTTTGACCGAAGATTGTGCTCATCCACCCTCCATGGTGTTTTGGTTCCCGCCGTCTCGAGCCCTAAGCATCCGTGACTCAGGGAGAGTGGCCAGCAGCTTGGGTGCTGTGATTCGTGGGCCTGGTGGTCTCCTGGCGACATCAGTGACATTGATTGAAAGGAACATACTCTTCCAAGTGGATCAGAGCCTCTTAAAGACTGCTTTAAGTCGATCAGTAGATCTATCAATCATTGGACTTAGATTGACATTCTATAGTATTTGAATATGTTGTTCAGTCTCCTGCCAGCTTTTGGGATGGCACAAGTTTGTTGCTTGATGACGTCTTGAAAGCTGTGGATTTGAATGAATTTGAGACTTCGGGCTCCGGCCTGAAGCGCTATAGGAGGCCCTCCAAATTGCGGGGGACACGATGAAACCACCCTTCGCCCCAGCAACCCAACCGTGTCCCGAGACCTCCACCGTCGAGTCTGTCTCCCAAGGCCGCCGCTCCGTCTCTGAGACACCTGAGACGCCGGAGGCGGCTCGGAGAGCTTTGGTGGGATGAGAGTCCAGCCGGAGACTTCCGGACCTCGAACAGCATGAAACATATACTGTAGTTTTAATTTCATTTGTAGAATATTGTAGAATAATGTACATTTTTTGCACTACTCTCCTTGGAACTAGCATGGAAGTGGAATATGGCCTCTGGAAAGACCATATTCCTCTACAAAGAGGGGCTTTTCCAATGTCTATGATTCATCCATCTGCAGCTCAACCGTCGTCAACCTCTGACTGCCGGGGGGCCACCTGCGGCTCCCATGCCCCAGCCGGCTCGTTGCCCAGCCTGGCCCTCTACAAGATCAGCTTCCCCCGTTTCCACAGCGAATCAATCCTCTCTATTTGCACTGATTGGTTCATATGGTGGATGTTTTTTTGGTTTCTATCTACATGTGGAGCTCACGAGGAAGTGGATGCGCAGAAGGGGGATCCTCAGCATCAGCTATCAATTTGGTAAGAAATCTCAGTGGGAGGGGGCGGACCCCTCAGCAAAGCAAGGTTCCCGCAATCGACAGGTACTGGCGGCGCGTCCGCCCACTGGCCGGGCGTCTGGTACTGGCCGCTGGCGGCAGCGCGCCTACGAGGGGCCAGAGGATGCCTGGTCAAGCATTACAGCAGCGGCGCACCCTTTTTTTCGGTGAGGTCAAACCTCACACACTCCGATATGGAAGTGGACAGCATGGTCCGTGGAAGTGGTTCTTTTTGCTTGCATGGTTCGTGGCGAGGATATCGCAGGTAGGTAGGTCCACTGAGCCAACAGTATAATATACACAACAGGATATGGCATAACTGTAGCCTGCTTCATGCAATGCCGCGCGCTCTGCTGTGTTGTACAAGTGTTATATATATATATACACACTATATATATATATATTAATATATTTGTTTGTTCTTTGTCATGCTTTTTACAGAAGACTCAGAATGCAGGATTATATCATAGAACAGATGCTTGATACCTAATACTTACATGCCTGTCTCGCGTAGAGGAAAGCATGCCTGGAGAGAAAGGAGAACCAACTGAAAACATCTAAGACTTTGCTTCCTTTTTGGGGGGGTGAATCTTCATCACCCACAGCCCAGATCAAATCAGATTCAAGCCGCGCGGGGTTATGATGGCTGAACCACCCCACACTGCAACCGCCAAGCATCCCGGCTCCAGTCGCACCGCCACACCCCCGTGATTTGCTGCGTCCCTGTGTGATGATGGCCACACGTCCAGAATCCGTGGAGGACTGTTGCAGCACCCAAAATACAGTCTAGGTGATGATGAGCCATGCATTGTGAGTTCAATAATTACGGAGCGATGCATTTCAGTGATGTCTCCTAGGGATACAGAGCTTGACCCCGTGCGAAAGTGGGACCAAAAGACGACGGTGGACGTGAACTTCACCCGTGTCGTCCGGGGCCTCTATATGTTTT